CATCTTCAATTTTTGCTGGATTTTATCCAAAACAGTGAGAGCCATACAGGGTTTGTCCCAAATCTTTTAGTGTTGGAACATACTAACAATTACAAGATCTTAATTTCGCAAACAAATCTAAATAGTGCGGCACTACTCGATCGAGATCATTTCCATCGCAGAGTAAGAAAAAAAAATTCCAGTCAATTTGACAAAAACTGGATATTATTGCTCATGAGTCAGAGGAAGCAGGCCCGGCCACATGTTGTCTCACATCTGATTCCTCCACAACGCATACGGTTTGCCCTTTGCCGGTCGGTTGACCACGAACCCAGCTCGATCGATCCATGTATGAACACGTCTCTTCTCGCCTTCTACCTTTTCAAACACACGTACGAGATCACACGGAGGGAGAGAGAGCAATGAGCATTGAACAATGCAGCTGCAAGAGCAATGATGCACTAGCTAGTGTATGCAGCAGTAACCTTCAAAAAAGTGTATGCAGCAGTGCTATACGGCATGGTTGCATGGGTAGCCTTTGCAGTTTGCACCAGCAGCTGGAAGACAGACAGGGGGCTTCGCTTGGCTAGCCATGCTAGGTGGCGGTGGCGGGTGCAGTTGCCACAAGGGGAGCCTGGCCTTCCACACACTACACACTACTCTGCATGCCCCTCCGGCCCTCCCTCGCATGCTCCTGAGCCTCTCTCTCTCTCTCTCTCTCTCTCTCTCTCTCTCCGTCTGCCAAATTCCAAGTGTGTTGAAAAGAAGCGGCCAATGCAAGAACCCTCGTGTGTCAACTTCACTTGTCTCTCTCCAAAAGATATGGTATCCCCTTGATCCTCCCCTCCCGGCCCCAACCTATATCTCACCATGCACCTAGCACGCAGCTACGCTCTCTCCCTCTCTGCATGCTAGTAGCTACTAGCTTCTAGCCTCTAGCTGCTATGCTATGCACCTATGCAGATGCAGCCCCTCCTTATAAACCCTTCCTCATGCCTCTCCCTTTTCCAAGGCAAACACTCCCCTCCTCCTTGCCACAGATCGGAGAGATCACAGGAGCTCAGGAAGGCCGGCGAGATCGGAGGCATGGCGGCCAATGTGGGCGCGGGCAGGAGTGCGGGCGGCGGCGGTGGAGCGGGAGGAGGCACTGTTGCGGGCAGCGGCAGCGTGGCGACGGCGGTGTGCCGCCCCAGCGGCTCGCGGTGGACGCCGACGCCGGAGCAGATCAGGATACTCAAGGAGCTCTACTACGGCTGCGGCATCCGATCGCCCAACTCGGAGCAGATCCAGCGCATCACCGCCATGCTGCGCCAGCACGGCAAGATCGAGGGCAAGAACGTCTTCTACTGGTTCCAGAACCACAAGGCCCGCGAGCGCCAGAAGCGCCGCCTCACCAACCTCGACGTCAACGTGCCCGCCGCCGTCGCAGCCGGCGCGGCCGACGCCAGCTCCCACCTCGGCGTCCTCTCGCTGTCGTCGCCTTCAGGTACTAGTCTAGTACTACGCGGGCACGCGTTACATTAGTGCGATTCGTTCGATCGCCCGTATGAAAATTTGTGATTGCAAACTGACGTGTGCATGCGTGGGCATCATCATCAGGCGCGGCGCCTCCCTCGCCCACCCTCGGCTTCTACGCCGGCAATGGCGGCGCCGGCTCGACCGTGCTGCTGGACACGAGCTCCGATTGGGGCGGCAGCGCTGCCATGGCCACTGAGACATGCTTCCTGCAGGTACAGTGCATTCTTTTCTTGGGGGGGCATGCACGCAGTTTTTCACGTACGACAAATTGACACGTTCCATCAATCGGTAACTGTTGGGTGCATGAGGTGCGCGCAGGACTACGACATGGGCGTGATGGGCACGGGCAGCGCGGCCGCCGCGTCGCCGTGGGCATGCTTCTCGTCGTCGGACACGATGGCGGCGGCCGCGGCACGGGCACCGACGGTGACGCGGGCGACCCAGACGCTGCCTCTCTTCCCGACCGGCGGCGACGACAGCCAGCCCCGGCGCCCGCGGCACGGAGTCCCAGTTCCAGCAGGCGAGGCCATCCGCGGCGGCAGCAGCAGCAGCAGGTTCTGGGGTGCCGCGCCCACAACTGCCAGTGCCACTGCCGTTGGGATCCAGCAGCAACACCAGCTGCTGCAGCTGCAAGAGCAGTACAGCTTTTACAGCAACGCCACCCAGCTGCCCGGCACCGGCAGCCAAGATGCATCATCATCAGCAGCAGCATCCCTGGAGCTCAGCCTCAGCTCCTGGTGCTCCCCTTACCCTGCAGGGACCATGTGAGAGCAATGCAGGCTGCCACTGCTCGCTCTTCACTTCACAGGAACAAGGAACAATAGTGTCTGCTGTGAGTTTATGTCTCTGAAATCTCATGGAAGGAGTAGTGACCATAGTGTTGCTGTCATTGTCCTAGGTTAGTAGCTACCAGTTACTACTAAGAAGCATCAGGCATAGGAGTATGTAGAAGCATGTCTGAAGAAAGGCAATAGTGTTTGGAGATCTCTAGTACTATTTGATAGCGAATTTGCAGATGCAACTGCATCTCTAGTACTATTTGATAGCGAATTTGCAGCTGCAGCTGCACAGGCATTAACACGCACGCATGTTGCCGGCTGGGCTTTAGACTCTAGCTACTGCATGCGGTGGTCCGTGGTCCTCATGTGTGTTTGTGTGGTAGTAGCAGCACCAGCAGTCCAGGGCAACAGTGTGGACTGGTGCAGTGAATTCTAGTGCACTGGTGGTGGTTGTAATGTGCTTGCATTGGGGGCTAGTTTGGGCAGGGGGCACAGTTGTGTCAAACTTGTCCCTCCCTTTTGTGACTTCCAGAAAAAGGAATGAGGCCGGCTGCATGTCTGCTTTTCCATGCTCACCTCGCCTGTTGTCTGTTGAGACTTGAGAGACTTCTCTCATCGCTGTTGGAGTAGTTCCAGCATGCAGATGCAGGAAGTGATGTCTCTACTACCACTGCTAGTTTTCTCAGTACAGCCTTTCAGGGCTTCAGGACTGGGACCACTTTTAGTTGGACTTGTTGGCTAGTGTTCCATGATACTAGTAGTGTACTTCGATTCAGTGATCACATTTGCTTTTGCTCCCCTCGTATCTTTGAAATGATCATGTTTGGTTATATATAAGGGTATGCAGTTCACATGTCTGGTTTTGGTTTCTTTCTGTCTTGACCATGCAAAACATGTTACAGTATATTGGACTGCAGAATAATGTCATGTAGAGCATTGATAATGTACAGTATGAACCAAAGTAAGCCATACGATTGTATCTTGAATTTCTAGACGCACAACAAATTATTAGATTATGAATTTCTCACACTCGAACAAGCATAGAACAAGAGTTCTCCTTACCTAGCCACTGACTGTAGATCACTTGTAGGCGTTAAGGAATTTTAGCGTTTTTTGTTATATTTTTAATCCACACAAATGCAATAGATAAAATCGTGACATATTGAAATAAACATGTAACGCAAACTAGCATATATTCAATATAAAAGAGTAGTCACCGGGATACAGAAAGCTAATGTGGAGGCGCAACAGATAGGTAAAGGTAAATACCTAACCAGTGTACACTACGTCAGGGCTTCTTCTCATATAATAACCTACATACTGTATTTTCCATGATGATGAGTTGATTTTTATATATAGGGAAGAAAAATTAATACCTCCACATCAATTAGCAATATGGGACTAATTGATGATTCATCTTCTACCTTCACTTATGATCTTTTAACCGTTTGTTGTTCTCATAATAACTATATTGTGAACGAACTGATAGCTCCGTGGTTGGTATCCCGTTGTGGGAAGCAGCCTGTGGGGAGTTCGACTCCGAGCCTCGCATGCGCAAGAATTGCGCGTTTTTGCCACAGGTCTAAGGACCGGCCTAGATCTCACATGGGTAACGGTACTGCTATGTATAGGCCCGGCAGAGGTTTAAGGGTTTTTCTTGACCAGCGTGAGAGGGTTTCCTTCTATTTTAAGCAGAATGTCAGGTGTAACCCGCATGTCGAGTTTTTTTAGAATAACCATATTCACTAATGGGCCTTAAACATTATAGCCCATCATAGAACTAGAGAACACAAGCTGATATAATAATTCAACAGTAGCAATTCCGTATATATAACAATTAATATGCCCAACACAAGTATAGAACAGAACTGACATACACTTGAGTCGGTTCTCCTTTTTTTCCCCCTCTCTTATTAGTTCTCTTTTTGCTGGCTTTCTAGAGGCCAATCGTATATACGCTACACCGTTCAGTTGTTTCCTTCTCTCGGTTCCGGGGGATGGACGGTAGTGGCCTGTCGTGCTGTAGTCCTTTTTGTAATCTCTCGTTTTTCTTTATATTTTCCCTGCATCTACTATAGTTATCCGTCTTTTTGAAAAAAAAAATATTGACATAGTCAAAGTTCCCGTGGATTTACTGTAAAATTCCACACAGTGATAAAACGGCTTACACAAGCCTGTTTGGCTGGTGCTGGCAGCCCTCTCACGCGGGCACTGTTCACATAAACAGTGTCTTCCAGCTAGAACAGTATTTTTTTCTCACACCAAACCAGCCAGCAGTAATAATCCACGATCCAGCAGCTACTGAGTACATAACGTGAGCCCCAAACATATTCCATGAATAATCCATGCTTCCAGTTAATAAGTGACATAGTCAAAGCTTCGATCACTTTTCTGAAGTGACCACTCTACTTCATTGAGAAAAGGATGATACTCCCGATGCCTTGGCACCAGCTTTGCGCCTAGCTAAAAAATCACGAGCTGGGGTTACGATTTCCTGCTAAGACCATGGAAGAAGCGGTGTTTTCTTTTTCTTGAGTGCTTCCGATGTACTCTGGACATGACGTGCGGCGAGAAACAGACCTAGATAAACATAGCAGAGACAGAGATGTGAAATTTTCTTTTGAAAGGGGGGTGGAGGAGCCTGTTATAAGTACCAAAAGTTTACAGCAAAATATTGAAAGTGTGGACTAAAATGTCCACAACAACCTAGACAAACACATAGAACTAAGGGCAAAACACTACAGAAACTGATGCAATTATTAAAGGGCGAACAAAACTGGTTGATGCTTCTAAGTGGTTGCTCTTGATTTCAGGAGCTACCTTATTTGGTCTTCCAGAAATGAACATGTATATTTTCTGTAAAAATATATAAGAAGAAACTATGTATTTCTTCAAAAAGAAGAACTACCTTAGAGTTGTTCCGAACACCATAAGCAGAAAGTGCTGAATTGTCATCTATCAGTTTCTCATTGTGATGTGTCAAGCAGTAGTTATCCCAGACATGCTTCCTGTATCAAGCAGAAACAAATGAAGGCCCAAGAATTAATAGAACACGCAGTACAAAACTCAGAATTGTCATTACTATTCAGTGCACACCAACACACACAAGATTCCACAGCATAGTAGCTCTCCTGATTAGAAAAAAAAAATTGATGAAAAATGTAGTTCACAAAGCATAACTGAACTTCAGAAATCAGAACTGCCAACCCCACAATATTACATTATATTAAGGACACGATGGGTTGGTAATTACACCTTCAGCTTCAGTGAGGATCCTGCTCTAGCTTTTACATGGATGGTACATCATTCCATAGCCTACTTAACATCACAAAGGTAGAACCAATAATCAGTTTTACACTTGTGAAAGCATATGGGCATATGGGCTTAAACATACTTGTGAAAGCACACAGACATACCATGGGATGTCCATCTTTTAGCAGCATTTTTACATAAATAAAATAGTTGACCCACTCAGAACTTATAGTTCGCCAAAAAAGCAACACAATCCGGATAGGCTTACTCCAACAAATAGGCACCACACTTTAGGCTGAAAACTAGCAGCACTAAATACTAAATTCAGTTTTCAGAAACCCTTTCACTGACGACTACCACCCATATTGTTAGGTAAGACAGTAAGAGTGCTATGGAAAGCGGTAATCATGGAAATGGGATCACACTTTGCCACTTTGGAAGGCCCCAGAAAATGCTTGAAGGAAAGCTACAGGAGGGTAGGAACCGAGGATTAAGGATACCATGTATTCGGCTAGTAGACAGTGTAGAAAGTACTGGGTCATGTGGTTCTGAATAACTGAGAAGTCAAAATTAGGTCAGCAACTTCTTTATGTACACAGCAGACTGAGCTCAAACAAATAAAACAATCTTGGAAAAATATATTTACTTAAGTCCCAACTGAAAAAAAATCGAGAGAAAAAAATCACTGGATAAACTACAAAAGGTTTGCCTAGCCATATGTACACACATTCAACTTTGAAACCTAAACAGGTGAACCTCGGGTGCAAAATCAAACTGAAAATCAAAATAAACTTCAGCTTTTGTGTTTCTTAATGTCTCTGTTCAGCCATCAGTATATACCTTACAGGACATACATGTGCAGTAGTATCAGATTGCTCAAGTGTTCAGTGTATGAGATATGGAATAATAAAGATCCACTGGTAGCATGTCAAGAACATTCATCAGAAATTAAATTAGGACAACCCAGCTTAGATGCCAAGGTAACAAGCATAACAAAGAGTAATGCACAGTATTAATAACCACTTATAAGCATGCAAATGTCCACAGGAAATGTTGATCTTTTTCAAGAGGAAACAGGAACGGTTGTTTCCTTACCATGAGATATGACGATGCCCCATCTGCTCTTGTTCTATCTCATTTGTCTTCTTCCTGATAGCCAGCTTCAGATCCTTGACAGTGGCAGAATTCAACACCGCCACCTCTTTCACAGGAATAAAAGGAGCAGATAAGCAATCAAGTTGAATTAAAATATACAGTACGATTCAAGGGCTACAGCATGTACTGAATGGTAATGTGATGAAAAGGGGAACAAAAATGTGAGGTCTGAAGGGGATCGATGTGTACCGAAGGAGGTGTTGTCCAACTTGACAACGGTCAGCCTCATGGCGCTGCCGAGCTCGAGGTTTATCAGCGTGTCGACGTCGGCGAGGGAGGGCTTCCTGGGGACGTCCGCGAGTATGGGGTCGTCGAGGAGCGCGGCGAGCATGGACTGAAGCCTCGCCTGCTTGGCCTCTTTGCTCTGGTAAGCAGCCACCTCCTCGGGCTTCCCGGAACCCGAATCCATCGCTGTCCGCCGCCGTTGAGAACGATTCCCTTAGGTCCCTGAGCAGAGCTCCGCGGCGGATCGCCCCACAACGGCGGCGTGCCGGCGATCGAGCTCGGCAGGGACGATGAGATTTATGAGACCGACATGTGGGCCCTAGTATCAGTGTCCCAAACGTTCGCGTAGTTGACAGCCGTCCGATTAGAATGAGTCCCGGTTTTGGACGGAGGGGCGCGTCTTCTATAAGCTTCTAGCAGCATCGGCCACCGATCTCGTCGAGATCTATAATTTTCATATAAAATTTATTTTCATTTAATTCCATAAAAAAAAATATGATTTGAGATTAATATATCTTAGAAAATCATCATATTTTTTTGCGGAATTAAATGAAAATAAATATGAAAATATCTCGCAACTTTCTAGTTTTGAGTTTTTCATTTGAAGTCGTTAAGCCGGCGCCCGAACCGAGCCCTAGCCGCCGTCCGCCAGAGGATTTCGATCTTTTATTCCTCGTCGCCGTCGTCTCCAGCTCTCCGTGCGCTGCCTGCGAGAAGCGACGCGAGCCTTCGTACATCACCTACGTGAAAGGTACGTGAGCTATTGGAGCGATCTGTGTGGGCGTTTCGTAGATTAGTAGCTTAGAGGAGCGCGGCCGCCTGATGTTGCCTACGGCGGCCGAGGAGTTTGGAATTCCACTCGCCGTAGTTGAACCCGGTTCCCTCGGCTGTTTCGCTCTGCATTCTTCTCCAAGTGGGTTCCGCCCCGTGAGCCATGGCGGGTTTGTGGCGAGGGGGAAGGGGAAAGCTTGAGAGGTGGCTTTCGTTTAGCTGCTGGCTAGGATGATTTGTTTGACGATGAGGGTTTAATCATTTAGTATCCAAAATGTTAAGATGCGTCCTGACAACGTGGGAAGCAATAAGCAGTAGTGGATAAATTCATTGGAGTGCTGTTTGGTTGTTTCCATGCGACTTCAGCAACAGTTGTCTGTATAACTGCTAATTAGGTTATGATGCCAATTGGAAACGCTACAGCCTGCTGGCATACTCCAACTTTGTAATTAGCATATGAATAAATTGTAGTATTGGAACTGTATTTTTGGTGGTTAGTGTAGCAGACATATGGTTTATCTTGCAGTGGGGTTCAATTTGTAGTTTGATCACTGTGCAGTGAAATTTCCATGGATTAATAGAAACATATACACCTCATGCCATGTCAGATGTGTTTTTATGATATCATGAATAATCTTATATGGTGAGATTGCATATAGTTTCAGTGGGACATGGACTTAGACAGTCTAATTTTCCCTATAAGTATCCTGTATTAAGTAGTTTTCATCCTTTATAAGTGAATTATTCTTATTTCAATTAGCAGACCTGTTGTAGTTCCAAAAGAGCCTTAGTGTTAGTGATGAATGATTGAAATGTTGTTTTCTTCTTTTGGGATTTCTACACTAAAATTGGTAGTGTTTGCAAACAATTCACTCCTCTATGAAGAGTTGCTGCATGTATTGATGATTGAATTAACATTTTGCTTCTCCTGGGTATGTTTCACTGTAATTTAGTTCTTGTACATATTCTACCTTCTGCGAAGGGATTTGGACAAAGACAGTCCAATTTGCCCTATAAGTTTCGTGTATTATGTAGTATTAATCTTTTGTAAGCATGTTACTCTTATTTGAATTGGCAAACCTGATGTAGTTCCAAAAGAACCTTGTCTTAGTGATGAATGATTGAAATATTGTTTTCTTCTTTTGGGATTGCTACACTAAAGTTGGTAGTTGTCAGTGTTTCGAGTTACCACCGACGAGTAAATTTGTATTATTGCGCGTCTGGCTCGAATGGTGTGCTCAGAGGACACGAGGTTTATACTGGTTCGGGCAGAAAGCCCCTACGTCCAGTTCGTCGTTGCTGCTCGTGTTACTAGCACCGAAAGTTTGTAGTAGGGGTTACAAACGGGCGAGAGAGGGAAAGGATCCCAAGTCTCTGGTGAAAGGAGTGAGTGGGTGCTAAGAGCTCGATCGCTGCTCAGCTGTGCGTTCGTGTTGTGCTCTTGTGCGGATCTGTATCGGATCTTGATGGGTCGATCGGTTCGGGATCCCCTTCATGGGGTGCCCTGCTTTCCCTTTTATAGGCCAAGGGAAAGCGCGGGTTATAGAGGAGGAAAAGGAGAAGAACGAGAGAGAGGAAGGCCTCTAGGATCGCCGGGTCCTTCTTCTCCTTCATGCGGGTCCCGCCGACCCTGTAGATGTCAACAGGGACGGCTCCACGTCGCGGTCCTGTCCGTCACTGGCGCCATGCGTAGGCGTCATCCGCCGGTCATGGCGCTCCACTCCGTCCTGGCGGACGTCGTGGTGAACTGACGCGCCTGTCAGTGTTCGTACGAGGGTTAGGTAGAACAGCACCGGTACGCCCGACGCTGTTCTTGATGTGAATCCTCAGGTATGGCCCGTCGTGGCCGCGGGTTACATCGGGGCATGCCGGTCTCTTCCTTGGTGTCAGAGTTTTGACCCAGGCCCATACGCTTGGACTTGGAGTGGTTGGCGGCAGTATGGGTCCCCGTCAGGCGAGACGGAGCCCGCACCCAAGGGGTCGGGCGAGACGGAGCCTGCGGCCTCGAGGTCGGGCGAGGCAGAGCCCGCCCCCAGAGGTCGGGTGAGGCGGAGTCTGTGCACCTGGGGTCGGGCGAGGCGGAGCCCACCCGCAGAGGTCGGGCGAGGCGGAGCCCGCGCACTTGGGGGTCGGTTGGAGCTGTAGGCGCGCTCTTGACCGCTCGGTTGAATTAATGTTGATGACCATTAGCTCCTTCTCTTCGGGTACCCTAGTATTGGTCCCCGACAGTAGTGTTTGCAAAGAATTCATTTCTCCATGAAGAGTTGCTGCATGTATTGATGATTGAATTAACATTTTGCTTCTCCTGTGTATGTTTCACTGTAATTTCGTTCTTGTACATATTCTACCTTCTGCGAAGAGAAGTATGACAATGTGTGATTCTTATCTGTATGTCGTTTTACTATGGTCTCGCAGGTTAAAATCCAACAGCAATGGCGAAGCATCATCCTGATCTCATCATGTGCCGGAAGCAGCCCGGCATCGCGATTGGTCGCCTGTGTGAGAAATGCGATGGCAAGTGTGTCATCTGCGACTCGTACGTGCGCCCATGTACGCTTGTCCGGGTCTGCGATGAGTGCAACTATGGTTCATTCCAGGGAAGGTGTGTGATCTGCGGAGGAGTCGGCATCTCAGACGCCTACTACTGCAAGGAGTGTACCCAGCAGGAGAAGGACCGGGATGGTTGTCCCAAGATCGTCAATCTCGGAAGCGCCAAGACAGATCTCTTCTACGAGCGCAAGAAGTATGGTTTTAAGAAGAGATGATCGAGAAGACGGAGCTGTGTGTGGGTTGTCTTTGGCTGTGTGTTCTGTTCTATCGCACTGATACTGATACTGAGAGTAGGTAGCTGAGGCAGCAGCTTTGTATTCCTGTTATGATTTGATAATTGATACTGATGTGAGAATACAGCCCTGATAAGTGATATGCGTTGTAATAACTAGTTCAACTGTATGGTGTAAGAGACTGCTTATGTAATTCGTGCTTGATGGTAATGGCCATGAATGGGCTTGAAATCTTGGCATGACCTTTGTCATCATATGGCAGCTTACTGCTCTAAGAATCTGGCTGTCATTTAGAACGAAAGAAATTGGGTGTGCGAGTGTGGCTCTCAGTACATGATGTACTTTGGTTTGAGAATCAGCTGGAGGCAAAAAGACGATCAGTTTGTTGGTTTTGAGAATCAGCTGGAAGCAAAAAGACGATCAGTTTGTTGGAGCCTGCCTGAATGCAGGGCTGGCAAACTTTGCTCGTCTGGAAGATAAGGTTTGGTTGCCCTTTTAGACTAGTCCATGATAATCTTCTCAGTCAGTCTAATAAGAGGCGTTTTGTTATTGTTTATTTATTTGTTTTATTACTCGCAACTGTGAACATATGTATATTTTTTCCAGAAGTGCATGAATAATTGAATATGATGGTTGCATGCCATTGTCACTGCCAGTCACGAGGTAATTGCTGGCCGATCAGATGCACTTGGTTAGTTGAAACGCACTGCAAATTGCAATGGCTATCTGCGTTTCAGTTTGACTACCCTCATCTAGGCCTGCCGTTTTTGCCACGGCTTATCTACGTGAGTCAAGCCGGACAGATAGATCATGGTAGATGCAGCGACAACGACACCATTTCACCTCCATCAGCAAGTAAAGCAAAAGCATACAAAGTCCAAGCCAACACATCAGTACAAAAGTCCGCCGAATACAAAATCCAAGCTAAACATTATCAAAGTCCGTCGGAAGGAGTAAAGAAGAGTTGGCATCTGATACGTCTCCTCGAAGCAGACGCTAATCTCCTCGCTTAAAAAACTAATTATATATATTTTTATTTAACCCAAAACCATGGTCGAAAAAGAGCTCCGTCAAGAGTCACATGTCCTGCCTGCCTACATCAGGAACGAACGGGACTACACGCATGCCCTGACCTTGCTGTTCTCCCTCTCCCTGGATAGAAGAGAAAAATAAAAGGAAAAGCCGCAGAAGCCGCTGAAAATCGGCGAAAATCAAAATCAGATCAAATCGACGCGACGGCGAGAGAACCCAACAAAACAAAGAGAACAAAGGCAGGCAGAGCCGCAGCCGCCGACGCCAGCACATCCTCCATTCCGACGCCTCCCCACCTCCACCACCCCCTCCCGTCTCCTCGGCTCCTTCCAAATCCACACACTTCCGCCGCCGCCGCTATCGCCACCGGTCACCATCCGTCCGACGAGGAGGGAAAGGGACCGGCGGGAGGGAACCCTAGATGACCCGATCCCGGCTCGGGACCAGAGAGAGCCTTCCGGATTGCGCCTTCGATCGCTGCTCCGCCCCCGCCGCCGCCTAGGGTTCCCGCGCCTGTAGATCGGGTTTGGGGGACGAGAAAGGGGGAGTGCCAAGTAATGATGGGGTCGAGGCGCTCCAAGCGCGTTTCGTGGGCCAC